CGACAAACTGAAGCTTGGGCACATCGTCCACTTCCGGCTCCGTGCGGCCTTTCCTCGGATTGGACCCGATTCTCAGGGTGAAACGTTGGGCTCGGGAATGATCCATCTTTACCTCTGGTGGGGAATGATCCGTTGTTCATTCTGTTGTTATTGGGAATTGTGCGTGCTTCAGGTTGGAAACGATCCATGTTTCACTCGGTTTTGGGTTGGGAATGAAACCAATTCTGGGGGCACAGGCCCAAACACGCATGATGGGCCTGTCGAATGGCAAGTAAACCACTCTGGAGTATGCAGGGTGGGGAAGCTTCCTTTATTTGAAAAAAAACACAATGGGCGACATGTGTTGATGTAACTCGATGCAAGAAGGATTCAACAGAAGTCGCTCTCTCAGGCGTTGTTCGGCTTCGCTTCTGTTGAGGCACCAATGGACGAGCCCCCAACCCAAGCACATCCGAGCCCCCACTCCGCAACATGGCTGGCGAAATGACATTTGCCATCCTCGAACTGGCCCAAGGCGTGGACGGAATTGACTTTGTCCCACCCTGAAAACCAGCAAATCATTCTGGCCCCAGTTGTATTTCCAAAGCTCACTTTGAGACACCTGAAAAGCCCTCAAAAACGCAACCCCTGTTGCCTGGTGACCCAGAAGAGGACAACCCCCGTGGCTCTGATTCCACTTTTCGGGAACCAACAAAACAACAAGTGATTTGGGTGGAGGCCACTGCATGTGGACCGGTGCTTGCTCGGTCCCGTTGACCCCGGCTGAGGCTCAGCACCTGCCTCACCTCTTCCAAAGCACGGGCCTGGCACGAGGAAAGGCTTGCTGGAGTCGCCTTTCTTTACCCAAAGCCACTTTTGGAAATCAAACAAAGGGAAGTTGAGGGACCCTGCGCATAGCCAGTGCTGTAGTTTTGGGCGGCCTCTTGTTGAGAGGCAGGTCTGAAGAATGGCCCTGCGATTTGACACACAGGGAACCCAATCTCAAAATCCAGAACCTTCCTGCGTAAGCTCGTTTTCCCCCCCGCATTGGAGATGGTGATGGCAGCTCCCATTGGCTCTTTGAGGTTATCGTAGTTTTTGTTGGTGGGAACTTTGGAGCGGTCAAAAGCTCCGCAAAGTTTTCTGACTACTCATGGCGCCCATTCTCAAAGTCCACCACGGTAAATAAAGGGGTTCCGTATTGTTTTCCCTCTTAAACACCACGCCACCAAGTGGACCCTCACTTTACATTAGCTCAACAGGTCAGGTTCTCAGGTTCGAAACCACAAGGGAAACCTAGGGAACCCTCAGAGTCCCTGCGTGATCCCGAGTCAGCCAACATCCTGGGCGAAGTGCTTTGGGAAGCAGATCCAACGTATGAGAGCTTCATGGCCCTTGGTGGCATGTCCAACCCTCCCATAGCTCTTGACGCCCTTTAGAGGGACATGGAGATGCATGGGTTTGGATTTTCCGAGGGTGCCCGTTTTGGCTTGGTTTACCGGGAAACCAACAGGACACTCACAATGTTTTTGGGGTCCCCCTATTTTGACACATGCCCACATGGACGTGTATGAAAGCTGGTGTATCGAGTAAGGTCCATGGACCGCAGGTTCCCTTTCAGATGAAGACATAGCCAAACGAAGGACATATCCTGACTGTTTAGCAGGTCAGGTCCTTTACCAAGGGCAAAGAAGCTCTGCGTTACACCCCCGTAGGTTATGGAACTTGAAAAGGGGCTCCCCAAAAGGAGACTCCTCTAAACGGATCTGGAAAAATAGGGGGCCGCTAAACATTATATATTATTATTATTATCCCGTTGAGTTCCCTTTAAACCACCCCAAAAATCAAATCACACACCGGAAAGAGGTTCCATGTTTTCCTGGGAGAACCACCTGAAGCTACCGTCGAGATCTGGTGGCGTAGCAACAAGTGTCATTCAGAGTCAAGACATATGAGCAGCCGTTTACCTGAATCTCCAAAAGGACATGTGATGTGAAAACTAGTGTCCTCTGGTGTTTGCTGGAACCCTCCCAAATGGACCACAGACTAGTGGAAATTTGGACTGAACATGATATGGGAATGTGTCAAAAGTAGAAATTCTCCCCATTGATCGGCTTCGCGTGCTTGCCAAGGGGTTCCTAGCATTGACAAATAGGCGACTCCTACGAAAGCTTTCGGGGCATTCCGTTGTTAGGGACCCCAAGGCGAAAGGTGCTCCACTCGCCCGCTGGCCCAAAAGCTTTCTGATGATCATACGTTAAGAGATTCCTTCGGAACCTACAAAAAGCATCTTTCAAGGGCGGCCGGCCCCTTTTGCCCTTTGTTGCAACGCGTAGTTCCCCCACCAACAAAAGTCATAGCCTCCCTTCCTTAACCCGCTTGACCCCAACCCTCACATGCGACTGTTGGTTGAAAGCCAGGACGTGCCGGGCCCGTCTCAAAAGTACTCGCGGGTGTGGTTTAGTAACTTTGATGAACCCCAGAGTGGATGAGAAGGGTGCTTTCTTCCAAAAGCAACCTGATAAGAGTACCCTCAAAGGCACACTCACACCCACCTGTCTAAAATCTGGAATAAGAATCGGATCCCAAAATATGTCCAAGTAAAGGAAGTACAGCATTATAGGCCAATCAAACATTGTACCCCCGCCCCCCGAATCGGGGAGCTCACCAATGACCCTTTCTGTGATGCCAAAGCAGGCCATTTCTACGACTGCTTTGTCAAGTCGTCTTTTGTCAGTCGTCTTTTCTCACAAGGGGTTTACTTGGCCAGGCACAGCAAATGGCCCCAATGCCCCAATGCCCTATTTCCCACCACCAGAAAGCTCGCCCAGTTCGCTGCCGTTTCCCGTCGCCTCGTAGACAGGGTTCTCGGCCAGCAGCTGCAGGGTGAAGCCCAAGGTCGCGGCTGTGGTCTCGTGGCCCGCAATCATGAGATTCACCACCTGAGCGGCACCCAAAACGCGTTGACTTTGAGTTCTACTAACATGGTTACAAAGGTTTGTACAGGCGTTAGAAAGGAGACATGGAGTGCAAGTGAATCACCATGAGATTAGGTAGAATCACCTACTAAAATGGCCAACTGAGGTTTTAGGCGCTGCGCACCTGGGGCGTGCTGCGCTCGAGCAGTGTCCCCAGCTGAAACCAATGACCCTGGAAGAAGGGAACCATATCTTTCTTTTAGACGGACCCCCACCCAACAAAACGGGAAAACGCGTGTTTGAGGCGCCCCGTGCCAATGGTCCTGACTGGACAGCACACACCGGTAAATGTAAACAAAAAACAAAAAAACTTACCCAGGGCTTGTCCAAGCTTGGATTATGAAACGTGTGGATCTGGCTATGGTTGGCATCTCCAGCATTATTCCTCTTGTCGTGGGGCACCAGGGTGCGCTTCAGAAGACATGCATTTGGGTGTTCCTTTTTGAGGCCTTTTCACCTTGGTTCAGTGTGACACAAACTCACCACTAAGGAAGCGATGCGATGTGCGACACTAGGCCAATCTCAGAGAAGATTATCCGATTATCCGAACCAAACGAAACTCCCTTGGCCGACCGAGTTGGATCGCGATTTTCTGTGCTGACCAGGGAAATGTTTGAGCCAAATGAGGGAACTACCTGCCGTGACTTGCTCACTACCGATCAGGCGAAATGTCTCATATCGGAGGCCCTTGTTCAATTTATTGTTACTTTTCACACTCCAGTGGGTCCAGTTTGGCTCTGCACGCCGAATGCGCGCAGCAGAACTTGAGACGGTCAGCTCGCATAACTTTTTTCTCAGACCTCCGGTGGCCATGGGACAAAACGGCAAAAGGGCTCCATTTGTTGGTCCTGGCTTCCAAGGGTTTCGACCATCTCGAAACAACACGAAAAAGGGTACCGGGGTTTGGAGCGCCGTTGGGCCACTGGGCGAGGCTGTGAAATTGAAATCTGTGCTTTAGCTTCACCCTGCATAGATGCACATTTGGGAGCTAACCCCAAACTGCTGCCGCGGTTGTGCAAACATGTTTTCCTTTTGGGGAATTGCGGGTGTACAGGACTTCTCATGTCCCGATGTTTCAGCCCAAAAGAAGCTCACTTACAAGTTTGTGCAAGTGACATTTATAAGGACCTAAGAGGGACGTGCGTGTCGAATTTCATGGGGACTTCCACTATGTTAAGACAAACCCATCCATTCGAACGGCAATACGAGTAGGACCCCAGTGGTGCACAAGCTTCCCTTGGCAACTTACAGAATGTGGCAACCTCAGACCCAATTTTCCAACCACGGGTGGGTGAGCTGTTGGGAACGGGAGGGTGGACCCAGGACCGGTTGAACCAACCGAAAACATAAGGTGGATGGCTGTTTCACGTGAATACGCTTCAATGGGTACCCAACAAACCAATTTTCAACCAAGAGCCTTCCGCCAAGGTGCATGGCCATACAGCGCCCCGTAGCGCACGTGCTTGCCATCAGCTGTGCGATCGTCCAGCCTCGGTGGCGCTCAGTAAGCAACCACACACACAACAAGGCAAGCGGGTAGACAGGCAGGCAGGCAGGCAGGCAGGAAGCAGTTCCCAACTGAGGTCATTGAACATCACTCACCCTCCTACATATCGTGTCACCCCGGATCGTGACAAATCTGTCGAGCCGCATGCTGCGGATCACGGAGTTCTGATTCCCCATCTCCCCGAGGCGGGTGGCCTCCACCAGCTCCTCCACCTGAAAAACGGACATGGATTCGTGGGAGCTGGGAGAGGGGGGGAAAGAGGGGGAAGGAAGGGGGGAGCTGGGAGAGGGGGGGTGGGAACCTCTGAATTTCAGGTTTGGATTCGCCCAAGTTAGACGCCAAACGTGAGGTTGGGACCGGGCCCTGTTTATCTCACTTGCCTGACGGAATCGGAAATGAAAAGGTCGGATGTAGACACCTGGGATACTGGAGCCTGGGGTTCCATGTTTGGATCACCAAAACTCAAACAAATCTCCTTTGTCGAAAATCCAATATTGGGTTTAGGTCTAAGTTGTGCGGGGAGCCACTGTAGCCTGGTGAGTCTTGGTGACTACTAGCGACAGGTCTGGGACCGTTACGGTCGCAGCTTCCCTCTGTTGAACCATGACCCTTCCTCGGCATTGTGGCGGGCTAAACTAGTGCAATTGTATTGATATATGAGCATGACGAAGCTTGGCTTTAAAGCACCCACTCAAATCGATCATTCCAGTTATATTGGCCGTTCCTGTAACCTCAAAATCAGAGCCCCGTTCTCCTTCCCGGAGGCGGAGGGTGTATTACTTAGGCAGTTACATGTTTTTTCCCCAGATAGCTGAAAGCTATAGGGGTTCTAACTTCTAATAAAGAGGGGAAGTGATTTGCAAGATTGAGGGCCGGGTGCTAGGGGGCATGCAGTTTGAGGTGCTGGTGGATGCTGCTTTGCGAGCTTGACGGCCGGGTGCTAGGGGGCATGCAGTTTGAGGTGCTGGTGGATGCTGCTTTGCGAGCTTGACGGCCAGGTGCTAGGGGGCATGCAGTTTGAGGAGCTGGTGGATGCTGCTTTGCGAGATTGAGGGCCGGGTGCTAGGGGGCATGCAGTTTGAGGTGCTGGTGGATGCTGCTTTGCGAGCTTGACGGCCGGGTGCTAGGGGGCATGCAGTTTGAGGTGCTGGTGGATGCTGCTTTGCGAGATTGAGGGCCGGGTGCTAGGGGGCATGCAGTTTGAGGTGCTGGTGGATGCTGCTTTGCGAGCTTGACGGCCGGGTGCTAGGGGGCATGCAGTTTGAGGTGCTGGTGGATGCTGCTTTGCGAGATTGAGGGCCGGGTGCTAGGGGGCATGCAGTTTGAGGTGCTGGTGGATGCTGCTTTGCGAGATTGAGGGCCGGGTGCTAGGGGGCATGCAGTTTGAGGTGCTGGTGGATGCTGCTTTGCGAGCTTGACGGCCGGGTGCTAGGGGGCATGCAGTTTGAGGTGCTGGTGGATGCTGCTTTGCGAGATTGAGGGCCGGGTGCTAGGGGGCATGCAGTTTGAGGTGCTGGTGGATGCTGCTTTGCGAGCTTGACGGCCGGGTGCTAGGGGGCATGCAGTTTGAGGTGCTGGTGGATGCTGCTTTGCGAGCTTGACGGCCGGGTGCTAGGGGGCATGCAGTTTGAGGTGCTGGTGGATGCTGCTTTGCGAGCTTGACGGCCGGGTGCTAGGGGGCATGCAGTTTGAGGTGCTGGTGGATGCTGCTTTGCGAGCTTGACGGCCGGGTGCTAGGGGGCATGCAGTTTGCTTTGCGAGATTGAGGGCCTTGTGCTAGGGGGCATGCAGTTTGAGGTGCTGGTGGATGCTGCTTTGCGAGCTTGACGGCCGGGCGCCAGGGGGCATGCAGTTTGAGGTGCTGGTGGATGCTGCTTTGCGAGATTGAGGGCCGGGTGCTAGGGGGCATGCAGTTTGAGGTGCTGGTGGATGCTGCTTTGCGAGCTTGACGGCCGGGTGCTCGGGGGCATGCAGTTTGAGGTGCTGGTGGATGCTGCTTTGCGAGCTTGACGGCCGGGTGCTAGGGGGCATGCAGTTTGAGGTGCTGGTGGATGCTGCTTTGCGAGATTGAGGGCCGGGTGCTAGGGGGCATGCAGTTTGGGGTGCTGGTGGGTGCTGCTTTGCGAGCTTGACGGCCGGGTGCTAGGGGGCATGCAGTTTGAGGTGCTGGTGGATGCTGCTTTGCGAGATTGAGGGCCGGGTGCTAGGGGGCATGCAGTTTGAGGTGCTGGTGGATGCTGCTTTGCGAGCTTGACGGCCTGGTGCTGGGGGGCATGCAGTTTGAGGTGCTGGTGGATGCTGCTTTGCGAGCTTGACGGCCGGGTGCTAGGGGGCATGCAGTTTGAGGTGCTGGTGGATGCTGCTTTGCGAGATTGAGGGCCGGGCGCTAGGGGGCATGCAGTTTGAGGTGCTGGTGGATGCTGCTTTGCGAGGCATGCAGTTTGAGGTGCTGGTGGATGCTGCTTTGCGAGATTGAGGGCCGGGTGCTGGGGGGCATGCAGTTTGAGGTGCTGGTGGATGCTGCTTTGCGAGCTTGACGGCCGGGTGCTGGGGGGCATGCAGTTTGAGGTGCTGGTGGATGCTGCTTTGCGAGGTTGACGGCCGGGTGCTCGGGGGCATGCAGTTTGAGGTGCTGGTGGATGCTGCTTTGCGAGCTTGACGGCCGGGTGCTAGGGGGCATGCGGTTTGGGGTGCTGGTGGGTGCTGCTTTGCGAGCTTGACGGCCGGGTGCTAGGGGGCATGCAGTTTGGGGTGCAGGTGGGTGCTGCTTTGCGAGCTTGACGGCCGGGTGCTAGGGGGCATGGCAGGGCATGCAGTTTGGGGTGCTGGTGGGTGCTGCTTTGCGAGCTTGACGGCCGGGTGCTAGGGGGCATGGAGTTTGGGGTGCTGGTAGGTGCTGCTTTGCGAGCTTGACGGCCGGGTGCTAGGGGGCATGCAGTTTGGGGTGCTGGTGGATGCTGTTTTGCAAGCTTGACGGCCGGGTGCTATGCAGTTGGGGGTGCTGGTGGGTGCTGCTTTGCGGGTGCTACGGGGCATGCAGTTTGGGGTGCTGGTGGATGCTGTTTTGCGAGCTTGACGGCTGGGTGCTGGGGGCATGCAGTTTGGGGTGCTGGTGGATGCTGTTTTGTTTTTCGAGCTGGCCGGGTGCTAGGGGCATGCAGTTTGGGGTGCTGGTGGATGCTGTTTTGCGAGCTTGACGGCCGGTTCTAGGGGGCATGCAGTTTAGGGTGCTGGTGGATGCTGCTTTGCGAGCTTGACGGCCGGGTGCCAGGGGGCATGCAGTTTGAGGTGCTGGTGGATGCTGTTTTGGTTCTAGGGGGCATGCAGTTTAGGGTGCTGGTGGATGCTGCTTTGCGAGCTTGACGGCCGGGTGCTAAGGGGCATGCAGTTTGAGGCGCGGGTGGATGCTGCTTTGGTTGTACCGGGTGCTAGGGGGCATGTTTGGGGTGCTGGTGGATGCTGTCGGCGTGTAGCGGTTCGTGGCTGGTGTATCGTCATGATGTTCCCACGTTATGGTGTGTGGATGTAGTGGCGCCGTGATGCTGTCAACATCAGGATGATGCAGAATTTCATTAAGCTGTCGCAAGATGGTTCGTGGCTGTGGTACCATCATGATGCTGCCTTTACCATCAGCATGATGCTGTTCGCATCACCATGATGCTGTCCGCATCATCATGATGCTGTCCGCATCATCATGATGCTGTCGAACTCATCAGGACCTCGTTTTTGTTTTTTCCTGCCGGATTGCTCTTAAAATCATCATTATGCTGCTGATCTCATTAGGACGTTGTCTGCGCGTTTGTTTCGTGGCTGTGGTGTCATCATGGTCTACATCATCATGATAATGCTGCGTCATGGTTCGTATCCGTGGTGTGCTATCTTGGGTCTATGCTGGTGTATTCCTTATTTTTTATTTAAACAAAAAACAAAAAACATCTTCCATGGCTGCGGGGGTTGCTGAACGACCGCACCTGGCGCTGCATCTCCTGCTTTGCGTCCTCGTAGCGCTGCTGGAGCTTGCCTGCCGTTTTGCCGGGCGGGATGGGTGCGCAAACGCAGAGGGTGTCTCATTCCCCAAATGTTGCAATGCAACCATACCCAAGGAAATGCACAAGTCAAACTATGCAGAATCTCAACTTGCCACACTTAGCGCAGTTTGTATATGTCCAAACAGTGACATCTTCGTGGTTTTATAATTCGTGTCCACAGGAATCATCAGAAACACATCATTTGTCACATGTCTCCCCCAATTCAGACATGGCTCGGGTTGAAACTTCCCCCTCGCTCGAGTCCAATTCCCAAAAACAGCTGCAGAAGGTGCCTTGCGCGTTATAGAAGGGCAGGAAGCGCTTCAGGCCATACTCCGACTTGGTGGAGATGGATCCCGAAACGTAGCCCAGGCCGAACCTGCGAGTCAAAGGCACATGCTTGGCGACCCAGGTCGACCTGGTTTTCAAGATCGATTTGTGTTATTTTGTTTTAAGCATCGTTGGGAAACTAAAAAGTCAACTTTGTGAGGCGAGTGAATCACGCCCTCCAGGCCCCCTGGCTATCCTAGATGTCAACTTGGGCATGACGAATTTTGAGAACCAAAGCACACAAACTCCAAACGCGGGGAGAAAAGTAAAAAACACCAAACTCCGCACCCCATTGAATTTTGAATGTGTCTGGCCTTTTCGGGTTTGCCCGGGTTTTGCCTCAAAGCAAGGGGGGAACCTTGCGGCCCTTGACACCAGAGTCCAAGTAGATGGGGTAAACCAGCTACAGGAATTTCTACACGAAACTCAGCAAGTACCCACAAGACAAAGCAAACCAGGACTTCCACTTGATCTTCCTGACACTGAACAATTTTCCAGGAAGGCCGACAAACAACAAATTGGCGCGGGCTCAGGGCTCCTGAAGGTGTCCACGAACTTGTGCGCCGGCTGCTTGGCCCCGAGCCGCTCCACGTTTCGCATGTCCAGGCCCATGCTGCAGCTCACCACGGCGTCCGCCGTCATGGCCGTGAGCCAGTCCTCGTGGCGTGTCGCTTGATACCAACCGCCCGAAACAGCAGAAGGCAACAAACAGGTACCCTCACAAGAGAAAGAAACATGGATTCACCCGCTATTACCTCTTGCCCTGCTGGCTGGTTCGCAAAGGCTGGCCATTTCTCTTCAATGGGACCAGGGGTTGGTTGCTTACACAAATGTTGCCCAAACCTTCTGGTGGTGACGGTTAGTAGGACGACACTCGTTTTCAACCAACAAGTTCAGACATTACTGGAATTAGGCCCCAATCGGTTCACATTCCACTTCTTTACTTCTAGTCACCTGTGAAATCTAAAGTTGTTGTTTTTTTCCTTTTTTTTTGGAGAGCACCTTGGTTGGTTTCAAAGGAAACAAAAGGACACCAGCCTTTCTCTGGTTCAACATCCTTATTTGGAAACAACGCTGTCAGGGTTCTCCACCACAGGGGTTGACATCGACTTCGGAGTTTATCTCGAGGACTATAATCATCAGGGCTAGATACCCCGCAGAGAACAAATCTAGTTTGGAGAAAGCAAAAAGAGAGAGAGAGAAAGAAGGAGAGAGAGAGAGAGATAAGGATAAATATAAAGATAAAGAGAAAGAAAGAGAGCGAAATAAACAGAAAAAGAGAGAAAGGGAGAGAGAGAAATCGAGAGAAAGTGGAAGATAAAGAGAAGAAGGGGAACAGAAGCTCGCTCCAATCCACTGTTCCTCTATTCTCGAGACTTCCGCCCCCTGGCTCTGCCTGACTTTCCTTGCAGCCAGCAGAATCCACTAAACGTGCTTATTTGTTGAACTCGGTAAATTTACAGCTATAGATCCCCTTGTTTGAGCTCCCCATTCAGCCAAACAAGCCGTCCAGCTTGTCAGGGAAGTGTATATAAACCTGGGAAAAGCCTTTGGCAAGATTTGGGTCCTCTCGCTCGACCTCCGCCAATAATCAAAGTAATCTTCTCAATTGCAAGCAATTTTTAGAACGTCGCGAAATGCAGGCCTACATGGGTCCAGCAAATTCCACTTAAACTCCGCTTGGTTTGTCAAACCCGCCAGGAAAAAAACAACTTGCCACACTGCGTGTTTTTCTTTTTTCCGAGCGGTCTATTCAAAAGAGCGACCCCCGGAAAACTGCGAATAAGTCTACCTGGAGGTCCACAAATGGAACCCTGAAAACAGCCACGTCGTGTTTGTTGGGTCTGTGTCAAAACAAAGATAATGGTTCCTGGTGGTTTCCCTTTTAGACCAACCCCAAAACAAGGGGGCGCCAACTTGCAAACAAAAACAAGTGCTTTTGGTTTGCGACCAGACCAAGGCCATGAGCCGAGGCGCGTTGACGTGGTCCACCACTTGCCCCGCTTCGAAGTTGGACCAGGCGCCGACGAAGGCTCTGGTCTTCGAGAAGATCTGCGGGGCCTCACGGTGAAGGGAGTGACGCAGTGCAGTCCCCATAAAGAAACCGTCGGCCCCCATTCAGCGCCATACAGAAATTCGCCTCGGCCCCAAAGGGGCCAAGGGCGCTCAGATCTCTTCTCCAAAGAGAATCTTCGCTTTTCCCCTCCCCCAACCCCCCCGACCAAAATTTTGCCGCCCCCCCCCCCACCCATGTCGGCTGGACCCAAAATCCTGTCAAGCGGGCCTTGAAATTTTCGGGGTTCGTCGGCGTCCAGCTCCATGGGTCCATTTTTGTCGAAAATGTGCTGACAATTGCGAAAATCACTAAAAATTGCTTTTTTGTCCTGAAAAGCATGACCTCCTGGTGGCCAGGCATGCCTGACGTGTCTGAGACTAGGCTCAGGCCCAGCCCAACCAGCAACCCGCCTGCTGGCCAGGCCTGTCAGCCCAGCCCACCCAGCCTCAGGCCCAAGCAGGCCTACCCCCATCCAGCCCAAACCCCGGCGCATCTCCAGGCCGGCCCCAAGGTCAGGTTTGTCTAACGTGTCTGAGACTGGCCTCAGGCCAACAACCAGTCTCACGTGTCTGAAACTGGTCTCAAGCTATGCCAGCCACCAAGCCCGTCTGACGTGCCCCAGCCCCTCAGTCCGGCTGCCCAAGCAACTCAGCCCAGGCTGGCCAGGCCTTGACCTCCTGCCGCGTCTGGCCCAAAGTATGCCAGCCTGAGACTAGCCTCAGGCCCAGTCCTTCAGCCCGCCTGCTGGCGTGTCTTACGTGTCTGCGACTGGCCTCAGGCCCAGCCCAGCCAACTCGCCACCCAGCCCAGGCCCAAGTGTGTATGAAACAGGCCCGCCCAAGCACAGCTCAGCCCAGCCCGCCCAGCCCAAGTTCCAGGCACAACCAGCAGCCTGGTCCGGCTGCCCGGCAGCCAGCAACCCGCCCATGGCTTCGCAGCCTCGTGGCTGAGACTAGCTTCAGGCCCAGCCCAAGCCTGGGCCCCAGCGCATCTCAGGGCATGCCAGCCACTACCGGCCCCCAGCTCAGCCGACCAGCAGGCTCAGCCCAGGTTTGTCTAACGTGTCTGAGAGTGGCCAACGACCAGTCTCACGTGTCTGAGACTGGTCTCAAGCTATGCCAGCTACTCAGCAGCCCAGGCTGACCAGGCCTCTTGGGCACAGTCTGAGACTGGTCTCAAGGTACGCCTGAGACTAGCCTCAGGCAGTCCCTCAGCCCGCCTGCTGGCGTGTCTTCTTACGTGTCTGCGACTGGCCTCAGGCCCAGCCTAGCCAGCAACTCGCTACCCAGCCTCAGCCCATCCAGCGACCCGCCCAAGCACAGCTCAGCCCAGCCAGCCGAAGTTCCAGGCGCAACCAACACCATAATCCAGCTGCCCAGCACCACCCATGGCTTCGCAGCCTCGTGGCTGAGACTAGCTTCAGGCCCAGCCCAACCAGCAACCCGCCTAAGCCAACCCCACCCAAGCCCACCCGGTTTGAGACTCGCAGGCCTCAGCCTATCTAGCGCCGAGACTGGGCCTCACCAGCCTGGGCTCAACTAGCGTCTAGCCCAGCCCAGTCCGCCTGCAGGCCTGTCTGACGTGTCTGAAACTGGCCTCAGGCCAGCCATAGCCCAGCCCCCTCACCCAGCCCGCCGTAAACTAGCTTCAGCTCAACCAACAACCCACGCAAGCAAGGTCCAGCCAAGCTGCCCGAGACTAGCTTCAGGCCCAGCGCAGGCATATCTGATGTGTCTGAGACTAGCCTGTGGCCCAGCCCAACCAGGCGAGGCCGGCTTGTCTGACTTGTCTGGAGCCAGCTTCAGGTATTCGGACCTTCCCAACGCTGGATTTCGGTGTTCCTGACCCTTCCCTCAAACTAGGCTGGGCCGAGGCGGGCAACGCGAAGCGTTTACAATAAAAGGGGGTCTGACTATTTTTGGGTTGCCTTTTTTGGGGCTTGATTTTACGAGGCCAAACCCGTTCAAATGCTGCTTCGGATTTAGAAACCCTTTCAAATCATATAGTTTTGAAGGAGACCACACAAACACACAGGTAAACATCATGTCCTGCCCTCTCTCAAGCCAGTTGTGGGTATTGAACGCCATGCCTTGGTGCAGGCTCTAAAGCTTCAACTCTAAGCCGACACCTCCTACCACAGGAGAGAGTCCAAACTCAGCGCAAGAAGAAGCGTGTAAGTTCCTAACATCGCAAAACATTCAAAATAGAGTAGTTGGCTTTCTGTTGGTTGATTCAACACCATAGAACATGGTATTCCAACTCACCTCTACCAGTCATGGGAGAAAGTACGGCCCCTTCTTCCGATCTTTGATTTTGAAGGGAAACCCACTGCGGAAAAATGGACAGCGAGCAACCCCTTTTCTCCGAGGAGCAAAGTTCTTGACCTTGATCTGGTTGAAGTTCCGGGGCAGCAATGCATGGCCTCGCTCCGCGGGGTCCTAAAAAACCTGGTTCACACAAAAGCCCAGCGGTCTGCCAACCTGGCACCGGTCAAACCTGGTACTTGCGTTGCTACCAATCTCGTGAAATAGCCAGCAAGGTTCAACAAACCCTCACTTTAAGCGCATGAAGCGAGGTAGAACTACCTATGCTAAGATTGCCAATAGGGTTCAGTGGAAGCAAGGTTCCATTTTCACGGACGATGATCCAGGGGTCCTTTGATGCAAGGGGTCCTGTATGGTCCTTTGCTGCAAGACATGAACATGCTCTGGGTTGAAAACTCAACCCTTTGGCTGAGACTGAAATGACTTGCCCATTTCATGTTGCAATACCCACTAAACCAAGGGCAAGCCCTTGCTGCTTTGACCAATCGGGAACTTGACCACTACTCATTTTGCCACCACCCACTGGCTAGGCTCAGTCAGAGTTCTGGGGTAGGGGTCTGAAGACACCTGCCGCCAGTCGAAGAATGGGAAACTTTGGGGGCACAATCTGTCTGGTTCTGTGGGACATATATGGGTGTGTCGCCAAGGGAAACCTCAACAAAGCGTGTTTTGCTTGTTGGTTGTGCCAACAATGGCCCCACCTCACAAAAAGCCCCACACACACAGGTCCGGAAGCACACAAACTGAAACACCACAAAATGGGTGGTTTCCCTTTGGTGCCCTCAGGGCTGCCCAACAAACACAATTTCATGGGGTATGAATCCCATTGTAGAACCTTTTGTGGACATCATGTTCATTGAAACTTGTGCACCATCCACCCAGGCTTTTCCTTGGTTTCCCTTTTCACCAACCCCAAAAGGGGTACCCTCAAGAAAACAAGCCGGAAACATCAGGCCCCAGCAACAGCAGCCCGTGGTTGCAGTCCGCGAAAAGGGCATCAACGCACAGAAAAACCAGCGCAGGCACACAAGCACAACCACTGGCCATGGGACAAAAACGGGACGCCCTTCTGTGGGGAACACCTTCCCACCTTGCCCAAAACATCCGGAGAGGGGGAAGCAACGAGGCAACAATCCTCTGAGCTGAGTGGCCGGTCTTCCAATCCTCTGAGGTCTCGCTGCTGGTAAAGAGCCCGTTCGCGGTGAAGTCCTGGATCGATCGGAAAGATCGGGTCGCAAAAAACAGGCGTGGCGCCGTGGGAGCATTGCCTCCATTGGCTTTGCCCTGCATGACCACTACCAACTGTGGTGTTTAGGATCAAGGATTCATTTGGAAGCCACATGGCTCTCATGTGTGCCTGTGTGGCAATTGACTTTGCCTGCTTCAGGTTGGATTAAAGGGAAATCACAAGGACTACCACCCATTCCCCCCCCCCCCCAGAGCGGGATTGACACGCACACGCACAAATCAGGATGTGGAAAGTTGGGTGGTCTTACCCTCTCGATTTTGTGGGGAATCTGGGTTGTGCCCCCAATGTCTTTCCCAAACCAAAAGTAGACTACCAATTATATGACTCGCAGTATTGCAAGGGCCTACAAAAGTACAAAGCGCGTTGTGGGGTCCTCAATGCCCCTCATGTTAGGAAGACCTGCTTCCCTTTTCTTGAAAGCAAAGCCCACCTGCCACCTACAAACGGGTATTGAAAAAAACAAGGAACCAAGAGAGATCAAACGAAAATGAGGAGTTGCGACGATTTGGGGATTTGGAGCCTCGACCTGCTTGATTAAAGCAACCAAAGAGGCGTTTTCAGGAGCGAGGCCCCCCCGGCCAATTTGGAATTCCAGTTGCCCAGTCACCCTGGTAGAAAAATAATTGGACCCTTTTCTGGCTTGACCGTTCTCAGCGGCTCCCAAACCCGCCAAACAACACGGGATTTAAGGCTGGAAACGTTCGGCTTGAATCCAGGAAATCCCCAAAACAAGATTCCTGCAAGACTCTAACGATGGGTTTGTTGGGTCTGTGTTCCCAACTTCTGGGCAACTTTTCTGCATTGGGTGTGTTGCATACTGGGAATATTGATTTGAACTAACCCAAACAAGTACATGCTCCTAGGTTCCCCTGCCATATCGATGTAACCCATTTATCATGTATATATATATATATATATGTGCTCATACGAGTATGTATATATATACCACATAATATTCACACCAGCACTTCAGGTAGCGAATGCTTAGTTGCGTGTGACTCAAGTGCATGCCCCATTTCTCCTGCAAGGGCTTCTGGAAGCCCCGGTTCCAGAGCTTTGGGAAGTCCGGCGTGCGCTCGATGAGCTCCCGCACCACCTCCGCGTCCGCCGTCATGGTCACGGTGGTCCGTGCGCTCGGGTGGAACTCAGTGCCTGCATTGTTTTTTGTTTTGGGGAGGAGGGTCTCTAAATTGGGGATCGACATCATTTTGGAGGGATGTATGTCCATCAGCCATTCACCAACCCAAAAATGAGGGCAACACCAATAAAGAAATCTTCATCGCGCGTGAGGTCGCAAACCACTTTGGAAGGTACCTATGACTTGCTCGGGAGTATTGCTTTTGAACAGCCCAGCCCTAGCCCTTTGTACCAACCACGTAAGGCCCATTAAGCCTCTCCCAGCATATTGCACATTCAGTTGGACTTGGGGATGTTGGTACTCGCACTGAGTGGTGCATGGAGAAACCATGCGAGGACTACAGTACCCGACTGGAAAATGACCAAAGGGATCCATGATTTGCCCAGCTGGCCAAACTATTCACCATGTTTGCGTTGCCCCGCAAGTGGTGGGTTAAGGGGAAGTGACCCGGTTTCACTTTCGGGATGACCCGTAGAAACGAGACTGGCGCCCATCCTTTGAGTGGCATGGCCAGTCCAGTGCCTTCCGGGAAGTCTGCGATCTCCACCATGCGCCCGGAGTGCGAGCGCACGGTGGGGCCGTAGGGGAACTTTCCGTTGGCCGGGAAGAGGTTGTGAGAGAGGTTGTAGGTGGGCAACTCATAGGGCCCCAACAGCTGATACCTTTGGCTTGCCAGCATGGCTGCTCAAAAACCGGTACCTTTTTAATGGAACCCTGGCAAGTGGAAACATGGACCACGACCTGCGTCACCCCAGCTGTGTAATTTTGAGCCACATCCACATGTCGAATTCAGCTGATACCTCTGGATGTCAGAAGCTAGTGGAGGGCGTGGCAAAATGTGCACAACCCTGGTCCCCACTGACTCCTGGCTGCTTCTCACAGTTAGGGGCTTCAGCTTCCAGCCCCTCCCCGGCTTCGGACATCTTGAGGCATCAGTCAAAAACATCCTTTTGCTTTAAAATGCAATCTGACATCCTAAGTTCCAGCTGAAATGCTCTTTAACCAATTTTACCCCAACCATCCCCACTGGCTTCTGACCTTATTCACGTGTTTCTGAGGCGTCAGCTGAAACAGCCAATCACCTTTGCCGGGTTTATTTAGTTTAAACACCAGTGGTTTAGACTTATTGCAACCATGGGTGGGCCCAACCCTGGTGGGGCCCTCCTTCTTGCTTCAGCTCAGGGACTCCGTCTTTGGTGTTGCCCAGACTTTGGGCCATTGGCAGGCTTCATGCATCATGTGGCAGCAGGACGTGGGGCAGACAAACATCCTCTTGCGCAACGCAGCAATTGCTAGTTGCTTTGTTCATGTGTGCAAACATCCGAAAGGAGACTATTGCATTCGGAGGGGTCCAACTGCTTTCGACGCAGCATGTGACACTCCTGGCAGATCGCTGGCTGTTCTGGTGGGGGTTCCTTTTAAATCCCGTTGACATGAAGCAGAGGAGGGACCTCAACAGAGATCCTGAAATAGGGCATCTAAACTTTCTGAAGGGCGGTACAACTTCTTGTTCGATTGGACAAACCCCTTCCTGAAACATGTAAAACCCGATTTGTGCACAATAAGGTCCCTTGGTTTCCCTTGAAATGGGACGAGGAGCCGGTTGCGTCAACACATTTAGTGATGATCGCAATCTCTTGTCCCAATCTCCCACGCTTGCCTCCCAAAACGGACCCTAGTCGGCGTTCTTCCTGGGCCCGATGTCGGCACTGCAACAAGTTGTGACTTGTTGCTGGCTCAAAGGGGACGCATAGGAACGCCGACAAAGGAAAACACAAGAAACGCACAGTTGGTCAAGGGGATCAACAAGGCCTGAACAATTTGTTGCTGATCCTCTGAATAATTTGTGTTTCATGCTCATCCCTGGCCAAGGAGTCTGGCCACAACGGGGGCATAGTGCGTACCCCTTGGATCCGATTCAGTCCCCGTCCAGGCGCGTGGTGCCCATCAACGGCAAGACCGTCCCGGCGAGGGGAAAGGCCGGGGGCTCGCTGGGGACCTTCGCGGGCTTCTGCTGGGCGCAGACCAGCTCTATCACCTGAGCCGCTTTGTCGCCTGAACTCCAGGGCTTTGGAGTTTGTTTGAATTTAGGTTCAAGCTTTAGGTTCAGAGATTTCGGTTTAGTTGGGAAACTGGGCCCAACATTGGCCAAAAAGGGAGATGGCCCTGTGAGGAACACGCTTTGGGGTTGTCAAACGGGAAGCACATAGGCATGGTTGGCAAACCAACTTGAGATCGAATTGGTAACCACATTGCTGAAGAGTGTTGGTGGCTATCGGGAGGCCACTTAATGATATGCTTGAGGAAGAACCCATGTGCATGATTCCAACAGGGACCTCCTTCGTGGTTGGGAAAACTCTTTTAGTGATTCCCACTCTTATGACAACTTTGTGACATTCAAAAAGGAAGTTCCCACAGTGTCCACAACCAAGCAATACCAAATTCGCGGCTTGGACATCTTTGCAGATATTGACAGGTTCAGCGGCTATCTATCCATTTACATCTAAGACCCCCTGATGCCCCCCGTCATATCCAGCCAAAGGAGCCACCACCTTGCCCACCGCAAAAACAGAGCTCCGAGCCCCCAGCCTGCAGCTCCTCCGCAGGCAATGAGAGCAGCAAACCCTCCAGGGCTGAGGTGTGTTGCAGCTGGGGGCCCAGCGTCCTGCGAGTCTGCGAGTCGGCTCCACCGAATCCACCCGCCCCAGGCAGAAATGAAACCAACATCCACCGCTTGCCTCAGGTTGCTCGGTACAACCAGCGGACATTTAACTGATATTTAACAAACTGGGGTTGCTGAATATGGGCCAACATTACAAAGGTCAATACTCATATTGGCCCCAAATATCGGAATTTGGGGATTGACATCCAAGACATTCTTAGCTGGTCGGTGAGGGGACCAGGTCTCGTTTCAACTATGGATCATGACAAACATCACGGCACACGTACTTCAAACGATATTGACCTGCTGTGTTGAGTCGACAGTGTTGGCAGAGCAGAAGGCCAATAGCTCAAACAAGGGGTGACATGTGTTGTCTGCATCTGTAATTGTAAACCAGTACGGTCGGCAACCCTCACGAGCCCCAATCAGGGTTAGCGCTCGCAGAATTCCCGTATTGACTATTTCATGGTTTGTGGGACGGGTGAAGCGATCACAACTGGCAAACCAGACCTTGACTCAGCCTGCCCAGTGGCTTCCCGCAAACACTGCTTGTTGGTTCTCTTCACCTATGCATCTCAGAAATCGCCATTGGGGCCAATGTCCTGAGTATGGGGAAGGTACAGCTAGATTTCAGGCAAACCCACAAACAAGAACAAAGCAGCACGGCTTCGCGCCCCGCCGGAGCTCGCTCGCGCGCTCCTCGAACGAGAGCGCTGGATGGGGAAGAACTGCAAGCTGCCAGCCTCTGCCTGGTTGGTTTGAAGGAAAACCGAAAGGGAAACCAACTCGATTATCTCGATTCATTTTGAGGGTTCCCAAAAAAAAATCCCAACGGGGTCGCTTGTTCATGATACTTTATTTGGGGTAGTTTCAAACAGAAATTCAAGGGAAATCGGGCCCCAGCTGAGGTTCCTTGCCGCAGCCGCCCAACTCCAAACGCAATTGTTGGCCACACCTATGGTTCCCAAATGCTTACAGGTAGTTCCCCACACACCCCATTGCTCCTTCCCATGAAGCCTCCCAAGGAAAAGGCCCAAGGTTGCACTTCCCTCAACGTATTAGAATCGGGGAGGGGAGACGGGGAGGACGCAAGCATTGGACACCTGACCAACCCGGTGAAGCCACCTTAGGCAGGGATCTGAAGCTTCCCTGTGGACAAATCGATGGCACTGGTGAATGAGAAGCAAATTAACATGCTGAACCCACCAGAACATGATTTATATCCCATACTATGTGTTTAAAGAAGAGGGAAAAGGAAAAGAGAAAAGATCTTATAACTTTAATTTCTCCACTGCAATTTGTTTGCCAAAGTAAATTCTCCCAAATGCGTCTCACAAACGTGTCCCACGTTTCCCATGGTTTCAATTCATCTTCGCCAAAATGTCCCCACAAAACCGAAACCTGAATCCCCATCTTCCCTCTTTCCCCCTTGCAATCTATGTAAAAGATCCTGGCATGCTTGGATTCTGGAGGGCGCTTGCGGATAGCATCGCGTGACCTCCCCCCACCCCAACCACCCCCTTCCTTTCCCAGGCGTCCGCCTCTGGAAGGCCCAAACTCCGTGCGGCTGCCAACTGCAGATCTGGCAGGGATGCGGCTTTGTGCAGTTTCACCAGCTGCCACCTTAGCGCCCAAAACTGACGCGTGGATCTACCATATCTAGAAAGGCAATCTCTGGCATTGAAAGAAGGACATTGGTTTAGAGGTAGCTGTTCCTATGGTTCCTGAGGGCATTGTGACACGTTCAACGCTGGCCTGGACACAGTGCTGTCTGCTCAAACAAAGAAAACACCAGGACGCGTCAGTCATAATCATAGTGAATCACTGTGCTGGCAGTTGACGCTGTTGCTTTACAGCGAGAGAAGCTGTGCTAGTACCAGCAGAGGTAAAGGCAGTAGTTGCAATTGGCAGTAAACCATGAAAAAAGGCCACGCTGTGTTGCGGATTAATTTCGAATGGACGCCCTTCTTCCTAGACAAAGTTGACAAAGGGCACCACTGGTCAACTGGGCTGCTGCAAGGTTTGGAATATTGAAAGACGGCCAAGAGTGCTGCCAAAAGTTTCAGCCACTTCTGCCACCCAGCTGCGAACCACCTACGTCGCTGTACACGGCCAGGTGATATTCCTGAGGCGTGAGGCCGGGCCGGGCGCGTCAACATGGAACCTACCAGGCCCCGTTTAGAGGTTCAGGGTCCCAACCAGGGTCTAGTCACGTTTCGTGGCAATGTGGGAGGGGGGAAGGGCTGAATTATTGCACACATTATTTCCCCATGATCATGACACAACTCGAGGGATTTCCCCCACAGCCCCATTCTAATTGTTGGCCCCCCAAAGGGGTCCGGGAGAGTTCCGGGGCGAGGGGTGATGACATGGTGACATAGCTGTGGAAGACTTGTTGGGCCTCTGTGCACTTGGTCTCTGTCCTTCGCCCCAGGGAGATCGCAACAGAAGTCTGGGCAGGGCTCCCTGTGCCTCCAGACCACAGATTCCTTCTATCCTTTCATCCACTTGGAACGCGCCCAAACGAAGCGCTCTTAACCTTGGCCCAAGACCTGAATGTTTCAATCACCTCAAAAAGGAACCTCTAGGCCCAAAAGTCGGTGTTCATTCAACCTCAGCCTCTCAACGGAAGTTCTGAAGACCAAACGCTGCCCTCTGTTCGGCCGAGCCGCAAAAGAAGATGCGGCTTCGCGGCGGGCTGCGCAGTGCAGGCTATCTTTCAGGGCGCGTGAGGCCAAATACAGCCCTGCAGCACCGAGCGCGAGGCCACCGGCGACCTTGACCTTGTCCTGGATGCAGCATGTGGCCATGGGTCAAAACTCAAATCGTACCCCCAGTTCGAACATCCCAATCCCCCCCTAAAATAGACTATGGGTGGTGCACCTACCCCAAAATGGTGCCATTGGTTTTGAACCATGGTCATGTGATTTTGCAAGCCCATGCACCCCTTATGAGAGAATCCAACATGAGGTTGTTTAAATACATGGCCGTGGGACATGATTGATTCCCATGACTGCTTAGTTTGCGTCGAGAGGGTCTCCTGGTGTCACAGAAATTGGCGGACAAAAAATGTGATCCACAGCCAATTGTCCTGCACACTCATGCAGGCGTGTTGGCTTTTATGTGCTCAAAACGCCTGGAAATGGAAGCTTGAGCTTTCGGGGCCATAAACGTGGCTTCCAAAACAGAACCCAGGGTGATCAGGTCGGCATTCGACAAGTGCTGCAAGCCTCAATGGTATGAAGGTAAGCAGCGGAAGCTCAACTGCTGTAAAACAGGAGGCGAGAAACCATCACCTACAGTGTCGCTGCCAGGAATCACAAGCCAGATGCTTAGTTGCTCTCTTGGAATGCCGCTGCATATGCGGACAAGGAGAAACACGCCACGCGTTCGTCCACGGTAACAAAGGAAGCATGATCAAATTCAGTCATAGAAAGACGGATCAACAGTTGCATGCGGATGAGATCACTGCAATTGCTATCGCGCACTCATGTTGCCTGCAGCCTATCAATGTCAAAGGGTGTGACAGCAGAATGTCCAGGAAAGTCCTCCCTGCAATGATTGGCCGCCACTTCAAGATCCCACCCTCCAAGGATCTTAAAACCTCTCTGCGGATTTGGCAATTCACATAATTGACTGTAACTCACCACGGCCTGTGCCTTTCCATTCCCTCTCAAAGCAAGACGATACCAACACTGCATGCTGGGACCCTCCAAAAACAAGACAAATCGAGTGCTCTCTTCCATCATTCTCTATACTGTATCACTTCGGAAGGAAGCCCCTGAAACCTCAGGGAACCCTTCCCGGAACCTCCGATGAACTCGCCCAAAACCCGGCCCAAACATAGGACTGAGGAATACCCAGCTGCCACTGTGGTGGCAAAACAACGACACGTGCTTTTAAGGCGCCACCCCCTCTACTTTTGGGACGCGTCCTCTGAGATCGCTGCCATCGCTGGAATGCTCAACTACGCTGAGCCTGATCCCAAAATAAGCTGCAGGAGGTGCGCCGTGAAGGGCCATGACCGAGTGCGACTAAGTCCCTGCAACAGAAAAGAACACATTGACCGTTGCTCAACAAGCACATCCTGCCCGAGCTCAACCAAAATTGGGTAGAAGCAAGGCACCCTTGCAAGTGATCGGCGTGTTGTGATTGGACGCTTTCTTACAACCGCATGGGGCTTGATTTGATGCATGGACAGGCCCCACCCAGGCAAAACGCAGTGGCTGGCAAGCGCCACAACTATACTGCGCATTGACGAGGCAAATTGAGGAGCATTCAGGGTCTCTTCAAGTGAACATTCTGAGGAGTTATCGACATCACTTTTGGGGCGCTTTCCCTGTAAACCCCCCCCCATGTTTTCAGGATATCACCTCAATAAACCCAGCTTCAAACCAAATATTCACCGTTGACAATTCCAGCCGAAACCGGCTGGGCTATTGTCGCGCTTCTCAAACCAGTATTTCCATGCCCTTAGGCCACGCTTGGCCATGCCATGGGCAGGATGCAGACAAGTTCTTGCAGTCCCTACGGGCATGCTTACTAGCCAAGTTGGAAATCATGATAGCTGGCAATCTCGAAACGCGCGTGAAATTGTGTTTCATGCACAAACCATACCTGCCATGGTGAATCATGCTTGTACTCGATTGCGGGGCATCATGGCTTCATTCCAAGTAATATGTGTATACATGCATGCATGCATGCATATCTATATATGTATATTATACATAAACATCTGGGCAAATTCCTACAGTTCACAGACCGGAAAGAAGCGATTCTCTAGACAGGAAGCTTCGTTAATAGATATGTCTGTCTACATATACATGATCCTTTTCTCTGAGGGCTTCCTTCGTACAAAGGCGCTTGCGGTTTCCACGAGCGGCTTCTGCGAGCGCCTGCAGCAGGTCTTGCACGTTGGGCGGCAAGCGCTTGGGATTCCACTCCCTTGGCCTTGCCAGTCGCAGGGTGCTGTCCTGCCTCGTATTCGACTCCCTGAAAACATGTGGCTTTGCTCTGGCGAAAGGGAACATGAAGAATGCACACAAGGGCAAAAAAGCAAAACAAATAAATTGTTCCGTCTAGCAAGGGAAAAATCAATCCAGGGAAGCCACTGAAGGGTGGAACCCATGGTTGTGGGACATGACTCTTTCTATGGTACATCATTGGGCCATCCCGGCAACTACTTTTCAGGGAATTCCATGGTGTCACAGAAGGGCCTAAAACCAAATGCTCCTCAACCAGGGCTCCCCAAATGGTGGTAAAAACCATTACCTTTTGGTCCAACTTCAAGTGAGTTTCCTGGGGCGATGTTAAAGGGGAGACAGGGAATCGCTGAGCCTTGCAGCACAGGGAAGCTTTGAAATATGATTGTGAACCTGAATTGGGTACCCTTCAATTGGACCTCATTTAAAAAGACTCATTTACGTGGACTTCAATTGGTCCACAAGCCACTTTTGGGGGGTTGCGAGCCTATGACCATCTGGAGCCACCTGGGCCAGGGTTTCAAAACGGGCCATGGACTCGCTGGAAGGTCCAAGGGCCCGGCGGCAGGTCTCCGTCCCAGAGCTTCTGACCGCCCCACTCCCGCGCCTCGAGGCCGGGAAAAGGGATCCATGGAAGGATCTGAGTCCGGCTGGAAAAGAGCTAGACATATACATGTTACATGTGATATATATATATATATATATATATTATACATATACACATATGTATTGTATCTGTGTTGTAAGGGAGAGAGAAAGGGAGGAAGGGAGGGAAGGGGAAGAACTTTCAGGAACGCCCAAATGCCAGCAAGTGCGATGTCTGATGCAAGCTGTGATGTTTGGTGTCTCAACCGCAGGTTAGTTGTATTTTTGTCTGGTGAGAGGATACAAACAGCCTGGCGACGGGCTCATTTGGGGACGCCTGTCCAAACCGCGGAGCTTGTCGAAGGTGTCTGGTTTCCTTTTCGGAGGGATTACCCCTTTCACTTTCACCCTGCCTGGAGCCATCTCACTTAACATTACGCGAACAGGATGCTGAAATGGGTCCCCTTCCTTGCGACACACCGAAATGGTTCCGCTGACCACGGTAGGCAAACAGTTTCTTTGCTCACAGCTGGAAATAATGGGTCTCTTTAGTGTTGATGCTGAAATGAACCACTCACTTGGCCCGTAGGTTCCCTCAAATCAAAAGCCAGCGTGCCCTTCTTGTATTGCTTGATACTAAGGGAAAACCAAACAGAAATAAGGATACGGGCTGATATGGGCTGATATGGGCTGACTCGAAGGAAAAGCCAGTCCAATCAAATGATCATCGCACATGGCGCATTTATCACCAACCAACAAAACCAAAAAGGGGAAAGGGGGGTGTCACTGGTTCTTACAACTGGGAGTGGTTTGGGGGCGGTATAGGGCTCGGGTCGGGTGCGGAGATTGGAAGTGGTTCATGCGGGAGGGTGGTCTAGGATTGTTTCTGGCGATCAATCTAGTTGTTTTCTTTTCGGGGGGTCAGGCTGGTTCCTGGGCTGTGTTGGCCGTGAAGGCTTCAATGGTGATTCCAAACCCCAAAAGTGTCGAAAACCAGTTTGAGGGAAGCTGAATGGTTGAGGAATATGTGATCTCACTTTTGTCCCTCACTCAGGGCTCACACTGGATTCTCCCCGCAAACTAATCTAGTAGGTTTAAGCGACATTGCCAACTTCGGAGGTAAACTCATTAGGAATTCATGTCATTCAGCCGTAAACTTCTCAGTCAATCTGTTGGTTCTGCTACGAACAACCGCTCCAACCAATCGCCAAATTGAGGGCCCCCGGTCACTGGCGTCTGGACGCCTCGGAGTCCACGTTGTCCACGCCCATGGTGAACTCCCCAGGCCTGCCCAAGGACTCAGAGGGACTCGGGACATAGCTGGGTTTTCCCCTTGGCACCAAACAAAGACATACCCAAACTTCGAGTGGCCTGTCTCTGTGTGTCCGTGTGTCTCTGTGTTTGTGTGTCTGCCTCTCTCTCTCTCTCTGTGTCTTGTGTTTGTGTGCGCGTCTAATCTAGGGCAGCGAAACCGAAAGAAATCGTCCCTTTTGTTTGGCCGATAAACACTAAGCGTTGGACACTTACTGACTCGCACCACGAACCACGTTTGAAACTCATCGACTTACCATGGATTGGGCTTGGGCCACAACTGCAGAAGAGCTCGAAGATTGCTTTCCAGAAAAGAGCTTGTCATGTACAAGGTTGACCACTTGCCAATATCACCGTGGATTCGCCCTTTATGAAGCATAAAATACATTTTAATTTCTCTAAGGGTGACTATCTTCAACTTGCAATTGGTTGGGTTGGCATTCATCCTCTGCGCAACAATTACATGTGGCACACTCACCAAACGGATCCAAATGGAAGCTACTCATCAACATCCTACTAAAGCCTTCGGTTGGGCTTGTCAAAGGACCCCGGCAGTAGTGGTTTTCCTCTCAGCGTTGTAAATCAGGATTGGCAACCCTGCAATGTGAACACCCCAGCATTGAGGCGGGGCTCAAAGCTAGGGACCGCTTTCAAGGGAGCCCCCGGCAAGGCGGTCATAGCTGACACTAGCGTCTCAATATGCTCCGTTTGACATCCCCCTCCATCCGTGGCCAAAGGCTATCCGTGATCAACTGGACTGGACGTGCTTTGGGTCGCATCCCCCGGCTGCTTCCCCCGCTGACGACAGCCTTCCCTCAGTCTCACAACAACCCCAAGAAGGGTACCCACTTCAGAATAGGACATGCTCCTTGCTGTGGGGGATTCTACGACCGGTTGCATGTCAGTGGATTTAAGTGAGGCATTTAGCTTATCACAATGATCATCTAACACCAAGATTAAGGTGGCCCATGGTCAGGAGCCATTACGAAACCAACATGAAGCATTTGAAGTATTGTCAGCGTGCACATGCGTGCTCACACACGCAGAGACACGCAGAGACACGCTGACACAGACACATACAGGGACACACAGAGACAGACAGGCACAAAAACAAATAAGAGAGAGACTGGCGGACAGAAATCTTCACACAGAGACGGCAGAAGGGTTATTTTGCTTGTCTTCCTAGGTTCGGCGAGGCGGTCTGGACCCAGAAAAGCTGCAGAGGGTTTACCTTTTCGAAGAAGCTTGTCGCCAAAACGCAGCAGGATTGGTTTAGGGTTGGCTTACGGTGGCTTACGGTTGTTTGGGGTTGGTTTAGGGCTGGTGTAGGGCTGGTTTCGGATTGTTTTAGGGTCGTTTTAGGGTGGTTTGGGGTGGTTTAGGCCTGGTTTAGGGTGAGGGCGGAGCAACCACGATTGCGTTAGTTGCAGGAAATCCCGACAAAGCGCACCCGTTGCCCAGTCGGCACTGCTTGCTATCGAAGATGGGCTGGCATCAGCCAGGCCCAACAGCTTCAGACCGCTCAGGGAGCATGTCCATGAGAAGCGGCGCCAGACATCTGGATTGTCGCGCTCATTGCTGACACCCATCAATCCGGAAACAGACTAATTTCAAGCCAGATGCTTTGAGATTCTCTCAGAGGCCAGCTCAAAACCAGATCGGAGCAGCCTGATTGCAGGAAAGCACTGGCAGATTGAGAACGGCGTGGCGCTGCTCCTTCCCTGAAGCATTGCAGGGAGATGCGTGATCTCGTGGCGAATGTTTTTTCAGATTGGGTTAAGGGGTTGTTCAGGAAACCCGCGGCTTTACTTTGTTGCCGCCAAACACACACACATGACATCTTAATCAGTTCTTCCTAATTATAAAGGTCCCCCTACTAATAAGATTGCTTTTCCATAATGTCAGATCCTGCAGCACTACTTTTTAAATACGCCCCCCCCAGTCCTAAAATCCAGCCTTATTAGGGGGCCCTGTTTTTATCCCCATTCTTCCCAGAGTTCCTTTCCCAATAAGAAAGGGCCGCTGTTTCCATTTAAATCCATTACTTAAAAACGGTGTGTAGTGAACTTGTTTGGTGGGTCGTACTGCGGATATGACAGCTCAAGCGTTTCCACCTTCTGGTGGCAAAAGCGGCCATCCAAACTTTCTGATATTTTTCCTTGGCTTGTGCCGCTTCTTGCGGGGCATGCAACGCAGCGGCAGGACACGCCCAGCGGCAGGACACGCGAAGGTACATGTTGGGACACGAACACACGCAAATGCGCGGGGCATGCAACCCAGCGGAATACGCTGTGCCCTGCGCAGTTCGACAGCTTTCACGCCGGTGGCCCCTACAAGTGACCGAGAACCTATCGTCTGGTGTCTAGGCGTCGACCAGGTACCCAAAATCAAGCCCTCCATCTTTGCCCAAGCTTGCGCCCCGCTTCGGACAGCTTGTCCAATGGACTGCCCCTGCTAGGTACTCGTCCAGAGACAGGCTCACATCCCGAAAACATCCAGTTGTGGACAGGTCTCTGTCGAGTGGGCCGGGGTTGGTCTTCTGCCATCAAGTGGTGGCCATTGGCATTGCGCACAAAAACCTAGACATCCACAATGTACAGTACTTTGCGTGACTCCCAAAGTTGCATTGTGAATGCGTGTGTTCTGCAGGCAAACTGCTAAGTTCCTGCTGGGCCTTTCATGAAAGTACCTCACGATGCCCAGTGATTGTTATTCCGCCTATCAAGAGTGATGAGCCAATTACCTGCATCAGGAAGCCATCAGAACCGCAATCCCCTGTCAGGATGATCCTGAGCCCGCGTCGCTGTTACGAAAGTTCTTGTTGTTGCTACGAAAGTTCTTGTTGTTGTAACAAGGCCACCTATCGTTGTCGGGATGTCACCAAACCCTCGGTTTAGGGTTGGCTCAGGGTTGGTTAAGGCCTGGTTTAGGGTTGGCTTAGGGGCGGTTTAGCGTTGGTTTAGCGTTGGTTTAGGATTAGGGTTGGTTTAGGGCTGGTTTAGAGTTGGTTTAGGGTTGGTTGAGGGTGGTTTAGGGCTGGTTTGGCTGGTTTTGGTGTTTTAGATTTGTTTAGGGTTGGTTTAGGGTGGTTTTGGGGTTGGTTCCGGGCTGCTGGTTTGGGGGTGGTTTAGGCTGGTTTAGCTGGTTTAGGGCTGGTTTAGGGCTGGTTTAGGGCTGGTTGAGTGGGTTAGCTTCGTTTAGGGTTGGTTTAGGGCTGGTTTATGGTTGCCTCAGGGTTGGTTCAGGGTACTGGTTTAGGGTTGGTGTAGGGTTGGTTAGGGTGGTTTAAGGGCTGGTTTAGGCCTGGTTAATGGTTGACTTAGGGTGGGTTCAGGGTTGGCTTAGGGTGGTTTACGGACTTTTTAGGGCTGGTTTAGGGTTGGTTTAGGTTGGTCTAGGGCTGGTTTAGGGTTGATTTAGGGTTGGTTTAGGGTTGGTGTAGGGTTGGTTTGGGGTTGGTTTAGGGCTGGTTTAGGGTTGGCTTAGTATGGTGTAGGGCTGGTTTAGCGTTGATTTAGGTTTTAGGGTTGGTTTAGGGTTGCTTTAGGATTGGTTTAGGGTTGGTGTAGGGTTGGCTTAGGATAGTTTAGGGGTTTGGGTCGGTCTAGGGTTGGTTAAGGGTGGTTTCGGGTTAGTTTAGGGCTGGTCTGGGGCTGGTTTAGGGCTGGTTGAGTGGGTTAGCTTCGTGCAGGGTTGGTTCAGGGTGGTTTTGGGGGGTTGGTTCCGGGCTGCTGGTTTGGGGGTGGTTTAGGCTGGTTTAGGGCTGGTTTAGGGCTGGTTTAGGGCTGGTTTAGGGCTGGTTGAGTGGGTTAGCTTCGTTTAGGGTTGGTTTAGGGCTGGTTTATGGTTGCCTCAGGGTTGGTTCAGGGTACTGGTTTAGGGTTGGTGTAGGGTTGGTTAGGGTGGTTTAAGGGCTGGTTTAGGCCTGGTTAATGGTTGACTTAGGGTGGGTTCAGGGTTGGCTTAGGGTGGTTTACGGACTTTTTAGGGCTGGTTTAGGGTTGGTTTAGGTTGGTCTAGGGCTGGTTTAGGGTTGATTTAGGGTTGGTTTAGGGTTGGTGTAGGGTTGGTTTGGGGTTGGTTTAGGGCTGGTTTAGGGTTGGCTTAGTATGGTGTAGGGCTGGTTTAGCGTTGATTTAGGTTTTAGGGTTGGTTTAGGGTTGCTTTAGGATTGGTTTAGGGTTGGTGTAGGGTTGGCTTAGGATAGTTTAGGGGTTTAGGTCGGTCTAGGGTTGGTTAAGGGTGGTTTCGGGTTAGTTTAGGGCTGGTTTGGGGCTGGCTTAGGGTTGGCTTAGGGCTGGTTTAGGGTTGGCTTAGGGCTGGTTTAGGGTTGGTTTAGGGTTGGACCGACTGACTGACCGACCAATCCACCGACGAATCCACCGACCGACCGACCGACCGACTGACAGACCGACCGACCGGGGTGACCGACCGACTGAGAGACCGACCGAGCGACCAACCGGGGCGACCGACCGACCGACCGGGGCGACCGACTGACTGGGAGACAGACCTGCCGAGCCAAAACCCCAGCACTACGCGCCAAACCTAGGAAAAAACAAACTCGGGGCCTCACAGAGACACACCCACACAAACCCCAGGCACACAAAGGGAAACACAAACACAATACACAAAGACACAAGGATAATTACACCAACACACACCAACACACACACACACGAACACAAATGCACGCAACAAAACAAGTATTCATACGCGCGCACGCACACACACAAACCCTCGAACAACAACACATAAACACAGAGACGCGCACGCACAAACATGGAGACTCACATGCGTGCATAAATGCATATATATATATAGATTATAGTCACCCTTCCCCCAAGGGCCCACCTTTCTACTTTTTGCACAAAACAAATAATTTGCAAACGGTCAGTGTCCACTTGGTTTGCAGATACCTTGCAGAAATCACAATAATTAGCACTGTTGTTTTGTGAGATTTGTTATATTGTGCCAGATGTTATTTGTGTGCTTGATGCAAAACAAGGCTAAAGAAAGCAACAACAAAACACGCAAACAGAAAGCGTTTTCAGATGCAACTTTGTCAGTGTTGAAAACACTGCTATTTGCAGTGCGGTTTAAAGGAAACAGCAAAACACACACCTGCATGTTGCCTCTTGTGATGGTTGCATCCTCAAAACATGCACAGGCTCAAACAAATGCAAAACAACCAAACCTGAAAGCTCCATAACCTGCACAGGCTCAAACAAATCAAACAAATGCAAAACCCAGGTGCAATGTAAGAGGTCAGGGCTTGACTGGTGTCGATTTTTGCATTGTTGCATTTTGTTGAGCCTGGCAGATTTCAGAGCTTTTAGCTTTGGATCTTTGCATTTGTTTGAGCCTGTGCAGGGTTTGGAGCTTTGGGTTCTGAAAACATGCACAGGCTCAAAAAATGCAAGACACATCCAAAGCCTTTACTTGCTTCTGAAGACTGGGAGGCAGATTGCCGAGCATTTTCATAAGCCTCGCGCTGCAATTCTTTCAGCTTCTGACATTAAAGTTACTCAATGAAGAAGAGAGACCTTGAATGACCTTGTTTTAGCTTCTAGCAACAGAGTTCTGTTTGAAAGGAACTGTGCATGAAGTATAGGTCAGCAACAGCAAAACAACAAAATACATTATATAATATACATACATAAATAATCATAGATATACTATACATACCGTCTTGCACGGCCCATGTGCTTTGTCTCTGCCAGGCCTCCATCTCACATTCCTGGGGTCATCTGGCGACAATCCTGCGGGATGCGTACACTTTCCACTCCATGAGCTCCATGGAGCCTTCAAACTAGACGTCCAGTCAAACAAAGACGATCTAAGCAGGCTTAAACAGCCCCAAATACACCGATGAACAGCAGTGGCTTGCATTTGTTTCAGTGCACTATGGTGTTTCGGCCTTGCTCCCTCATCTGCAAATGTCATAACTCCATGCCAGTCATGGCGTCATGCAAATGGCTTGCCGCAACTTGCAGAGAACATCTGTCCTTGTATCTCGCAGGGATACTCTGGAAGTTGCCACTGCCCCATTTCGTCCTGAGCTCGAATGGCTTCTTGAACGTCTAGCCTAGGGGTATGCGTCAAAATAGTGCTTGCTCCGAACAACTGCATTTTCCTTCTTTGAACCAAGAAGGGTACCCTCAACAAAGAACAAAGACTTTTGCCAACCATACTGGGCAGAATTGTTTTGGGACTCCTTCTCCGCTCCAGCAAAACAGCGTGGTTACTGCAAGGCAAGGCGATCGACTCCATTGATTTAAGAGCAAAAGCACCAGGGCATAGGATCCTATGGCCAGGCAAAAAACTCCGTGGTACTAGAACCCACCAAGGCGAATTAAAACGCTGAAATCTCTCAAAACCGAAAACAAGAGGTCAGGGCAGCCAAGCATATGGAGGCCTTTCGAGCGGATCCCAAGACGGCACCCCACTCTTTTGACGGCCCATCCACGTCCTTGGAGGCATCCATCCAGGGCGAGATGTCGACCTGGCCCAAGCCGAACCAAAAACCGTGCGGTGGATGGACAAAATCCTGGACCTGTTGGTGGGTGGTTTAGCCGGGAATTCCTAGAAATTCATCCATTCCGACTGCTGCAGGATATTGTCCGCGGGAGGGGGGGTAGGAAAACGCAAGTATCTACGCGCTTCCTTAAATCGAGGGGCCCAAGGTATTGCCTAGATAGAATGTCCCTGCGAAGCACCATAGAGACCCAACTTCACATTGCTTTTCACGTCGCCCGGTGTACGTGGTTGGATCTCTCGATGTAAATGAAAGTAAAGATCATATTCGGCACTCACCTGCCGCAGGTTTGGTTCTCTTTTGGGCTTGGTTGCAGCCGAAACAAAAGCCAACCATCAGTCGCCAATCTCAGAGACCCGAATGTCCACATCAGCTGAGATCATACTCTTTAGCGCTCGCAAGAAGCTGTGGCACAATGACTTGCTCGGTCAAGCCTAAACCTAGGGATTGTTCATGAGTCTATTCAAGGGCAAATATGTATTTAAGATGGTCCCAAATTTGACCAGGATGACGTTTTCATGGTTGTCACAAGTATGGGATCTCGACAAAGCCCAAGAGGCCCCCTTTCAACAGGGGCCTTGACAATCGGAGATGGGAACGGGGTTGCTGAGCGACGCGGAAGGGCTAAAACGGAAGAAGAATATAAACAACATAGTGTTGTGCTTCAGAAGAAGGAACACCGAGGCAATCAACATATCTACCAACCACAACGCCCAAAGTAAATCAAGAAAGGGCAGTAACACATCATTCAAAGAAATGGCCAAGAAGCACAGCAATCTGGAAACATCTAGTCCTTGTTCTAAGCTCCAGTACTCTCGGCTGCCACAAAGGCGCAGTGCCAAGCAAAAAGTGAGGGGCTCTTGCTTTACATGTCGGCTTCGGAGCCAATTGGACAAGGATCACTTTGCACCCACGTTTGCCGCAAAGCTTTCTGGCAGACACTGAATCCCTGGGATCCCAAAACCCCACCAGGTCCTAACGATCTTCAAATGAATATTCGATGTTTGGGGCGATGAGCAAACCAAAGCTGGGAAACCAAATAATAATCAAATGGCATAAACTCACAGACAAGACTCAGAGGGTCTTAGGCAAAATAAATATATATATGTGAGGCCATTTGAGTCATGGTCAATGGCCGTGGTTACCGTGGTTCCTTTGGAACCTGTACACTAATTCCGCCAAAAGGGGTCCATAACAATCCTCACCCCGGGCAAAGCAATTGGTCCTGTGACCATTGCATATCCGCATTTATTATTCGCACCCCACTTCCTGAAATGCTCTTTGCCACGAACATGGTCTTCCCCAAAACTTAAAGTCCACTAATCGGAGGTGAAAATGGGGTCTTCTGACCGAAGATTCCCAACTTACTGACCCATTGAATGGATTCTAACAAACGGGTTCCTTTCACATTGGGACCCTTTCGGGGACCCACTCGCGGGAATGCGCCTCCGGCATGGACGCCAAGATTGGAGCCATTGGCCCCTCCTTTCCTGTATGGAGCTGCAGAGATTTGGATCCCGGAAATGGCAATGTTGTCCTTTCGCATTCAATTTACTCAACCAAACACCCAACCCAAAACCAAACAAAAACAGACAAAGACAACTGCAGCCAAGCCAACTCGTTGTTTGCGGTGTGCAGCTGGTTTGCTTTCAAAGAAGCCAGCGCAAATCTGACTCGCTTGCACCCGGCTTTGGTTGGTTTTATTTGGGTGTGCTCAAAATAGGGGGATCCCCCCGCAAAACACACACACAAAAACAAACAAAACAAAACCTGAGCGGGTTGCTCTTGTCTCCCTTCAATTTCAAGTGGTCAAAACCCAGGATCCCACATCTTTTTGGAAGCGCTCACTGCAAAGGGAAATCCCATCAAACAAGTCAAGCACTGAAGCGCCCAAAACCCGGGCAACCGGTTCGGGCACCGAGCCTCTTCGAGACACCTTGGTCGCAAGGAGCCATCGTTCGAGGGGTCCAAATGGATCCAGGCTCGTGTCCATGCAAAACGAGGCTCCATGAATTCCAGAAGACCCAGACACAGCAACCCATGCTCCAGCTCATCTCGCCAGGACTGACGCCAAGGTGTCTTGGGCTCCGTGCCACAACTCGGCTCATGGCGTATGCGCTTCGGAAGTCGGTTTGGGCTGTTTCGTGGTTTGAGGTGCTCCAACCCAAACCAAAGACTTAGGACTTGTGAAACTTATTGACAAGAATTCCCAGAGAGAAACCGTTCGGGGACCAAAAAGGGTCACCCCAATGGTGTTGCTGTATGTCTCGAAATTGTCAACCTTCTCGGCGGGCGGTCAAACAAACGCCAAGGACGGTGTCAAAGTCCTCTGAATCTCACGAGGCACCTTGAGCTCCAATCCGCGTGTGCCTCAACCTGCTCACGCTGAGCCCACTAGAGGCTTGGGCAAAACGAAGCGACGCGGACAGCAAAGAGGTCGGATGAAAGCACATTCCCCTGAATGAACCTGAGCACCAAGAAGAGGGGTCTGCTCCAAAATCAAATGGCAAGTCCAACTCATGCAAACCACTGACACGGGACAGTCCCCAAATTAACACAAACAAAGGTATATCTACGCTCGCATCATGATGTTTCGGATATCCTTCGGGAGTTGTAAAATAACTTCCTGAATTGGCCAACAAAAAGGTTTGAGCCGAGCTTCTCTATGTACCACTAAAGTTGTGTTCTCAACCAGATTCAAGCCCAAGACTTCAGGGAGCAGACAAGCAACTGCTCTTGTTGGCCCCTTGTTGAGTGGAAAACTGAAGATGCAGAGTTGTCTTGGCCATGTCCGAAGGGAGGATCACTGAGGGAACTGTTGACATCTCGAGAAACAACACGCTCTTTGCTACAGCCAGATGTGATGGTCGTCTGGAGTGCTGTGACGTGCCCCGTTGTAATCAATTAATGCTTGCCCATGTGCCTAAGCCTATGACCTCAATAAGGCCAAACTACTACACCGCCTTTTGGCCGTTCAAGTCAGCGGATAAGCTCGATTTGTGACAAGCCGTACCGATCGCTCCAAATGGCAGAAGGCAAACGAAACTTGATTCCTGCTTGATTTGATCGACCTTTGTGAAAACCCTTGGACAATGGCATAAAGGTTTTGGGCAAAAGGGTACATCATGCCACTGCGTCCGGCAAAGGAAGGCTCGACAAGAGGAGTTGTTCGCAGGTATTTGCTTGAGAGACCCAATTAATACACCTGCAACAGAAAATCCTCAAGTAGGCGACCTTCATCATGGGCGAGGTGCCACACCATTTGTTGGCAAGTTCGCAATACATTCCCCAGATCGCATCTTGCAGTAGCAATCCGCTCAATGGCTCGTGGCATTCTCCGCCTAATCAACCCAGGAGAAAAAAGCGCCGTGGCCGCATCCCAGGCAAGGCGGCTCGCGTCGTGGATGTTGGGGGAGTCTTCACCAATTCCAACTAACCAACGCATTGAGAACCCTTGAGGATCCTCCCCGGTTCAATGAGACCCCCGGGCGCAACCAACGGAAGCCAACCATGTAAAGGGGCTGAAATCATTTTGAGTTGTCCTCAGATTCGCCAAACTGTGGCCATTTGCATAGAATAAAAGGGCTACACTAAAAAGGCAACACATTTAAACAGGAACGCAACGCAATGACAGACTCCAACCGGCCCTCTCTCTGCGGCCTCACCGAGAAGACAGGATCCATGAGCCATGCTGCAAAGAGCGGCCCGGCCAGCTCTGAGGTGAACTTTGCCTCCATCAGTTTGGCAAAATGCGTTTCAACAGCCCCCCGAAGAAACCAAAGGAGACTGTCTGGTTTGGTCATCGTAGGCTTGGAGCAACGATTTGTTGTTCTTGTTTGGCTTTGTTTCCTTCTTTGTCTTTCTTCTTCTTCTGTTTTTTTTTTTTTTTGGGGGGGGGGTGGAAAACAACAACATGTCAATTTGCATCAGCTGCGGTGAAGACGATCATCAGCCTCCTGTTGCATCGTTGTCTGTGCGGAAGGGCTTGGCATAGAACTTCTTGCCACCCTCTCAAAGGCAACCAAGGAGAACGCGACACCTCCCCAAGTACCGCAAGTGCTCCAAACGGGTTCTGGCTTTGCTGTGGGCCTATATTTACTTCTAACTTGGCTCTGGCCAAGCCACAATTTCGGCCGTTTAGCATCAAAGAAGCCAGCTGCTGGAACCCAGTGGACTTGACGTTTTGGTGGGTGTCTGCAGAATTTTGTGGTTTGTGATGGGTTTTCGGCAAATTTCCAGTAAGAATTCTGGGCGTCGAATAGAGGCTCTGGAAAGGTTAAACAATTTCCCATTCCCCTTTGGGTTTCCCTTTGGGAAAATCAACAAATATTGGCTATGTGTTTAAGCCCCGAATTCCTGTGGCTGCTTTCTACGTTCGCAGCGTGGGCACTTGGGCCACCGTGCCTCACCGAGGTACTTGGCTAAGTCTGGCCTGAGACGGACAGGTCCATCCGGGGTCCATCCACAGCGTTGCGGGCTTGGGAGAAACTAAACTCACTGTTGGGCCACGGTGGTTTCCCTATAAACACGAGATTGTGTTAAAAACCCCAACAGATTCCCCAACAATGGATCAACCGAGAGCCGGTGATGAGTTCGCTTGTTTGTGTGGAATAAGGTGCGACACTGTTGAATGCGAAGATAGAGGCGATGTTGTGGAGTAAAGCAATGTCACTCGGACTAAGAAGTAGTCGCGCATTCAAGCAGTGGCGGCCGCTCAAGTTGATCCGTGGCCACCTCAAACACGTCCCGGTGGTGAATGCAAATTAAAAATGCGCAGAAAGTGGTCAGAGCTTCTTGCACTGAATCTGCTGGGCAAGGTCCCGTGCCCGTGACGTACACTCCAAACCAACATCCCAAAAAGGATGCAGGTAGCGATCCTGATTGTGCTGGACCGGCAAAGTCATCATTCGGTGCCCCTGACTCCAGATCTGGGCTGATGGCATCACATTGATGACCGCTAGCCGCACTCGCCACTGCCGGTCCTTGCCCAAGTCCTGCCGCCGTCGGATACTCGCATCAACTGCGGTAAAAAGGTTGTTTTGGCTCTTCATAAGCCAACCCTTCGGAAACGAACAGGTGCTGCTTGAAACCGCAAAGGTTCACTTGCCCGGTGTTTTTCCCCAGATAGCTGAAAGCTATAGGGGTTCTAACTTCTGGCTGGTGCTAAGAGGCGTGCAGTTTGGGGTGCTGGTTTTTGCGGAGTGGGGTGCTGCTTGAGGTGCTGATAGCAGTGCGGGCGCATCTTTTCAAGATTGACGGTAGGGTGCTAGGGGGCATGCAGTATGGGGGTGCTGGTGCAGGTGCTGTTTTGGGGTGACGGTGCACGCGTGTTTTTGCATCTTGACGGTAGGGTGCACGGGGGCATGCAGGCAGTTTGGGGTGCTGGTGCTGGTGGTGTCTTGGGATGCTGTTTGGGGAGCTGTTTGAGGTGCTGGTGACGGTGCGGGCGCACTTTGCGATATTGACACCCGTGTGCTATCGGGCATGCAGGTGACGGTGCAGGCACATTTTTGCATCTTGACGGTAGGGTCCAAGGGGGCATGCAGCTTGGGGTTCTGCAGGTGGCGTTTTGGGATGCTGTTTGGGGTGCGGCTGGGTGTTTGGGGGGGTGCTGTTTGGGGTGCTCTTAGGGTAACGGTTCAGGCGCATTTTTGCGAGATTGACGTCAGGGCACAGGGGGCACGCAGTTTGGGGTGCTGCTGCAGGTGCTGTTTTGGGATGCTGTTTGGGGGTGCTAGTGATGGCGCGGGTGCTCGATTGACGGCCGGGTGCTGTTTGGGACGCTCTTCGGGGGGCTGGTGTGCAATCATTGCTATCTGGGGTCTATGCTGGTGTATTTTTTTTCCATAGGGAAACCAGGATCGGTTGACTTCCTAAAAATGAACCGCTCTGAAAAATACAGGCGCGCCCCGGGCGCAGGGGAATCATGGGCAAGGCCTCAGATTCCGAGGCATGCCCGGCTACAAACGCGAGGCACCTCCATGACTGGGAACCCTGAAGCAATCCGCAGGATGAGACCTGCTAAAATGGGCCTGGGGCTGTTACTTGCAGTGGCAACCTGACCTTCTTCATCAGCTACACGGGACCCATTCGCTATACGGGTTCTTTTGTCTTCATCCAAACCATAGCCGCCTGCACGGTGTTGTGTATTTCGTGAATACACTATTCGTTCCGGACACTTGTGAGCACAGTGCTTGTGAGCACAGTGCCCTTTTGTGCTTGTGTTGATGATGTTGATTGTATTCCTTGTATGCGTCACAACCAGACATTAGATCCCTTGTGAAACGTGTTCATTGTTGGGGATGTGTCGAAAGCAGGGGCCTCAATGTTGCTGTTGCTCGCAGCAACGACAACGACGACGGCGGCGAATCACGTGGTTCGTCCAATCATTTGACTAGTCCCCAAGAACACCCGGCTTGGGATTTGGCGCTCAAAACTCGGCTACCCTGACCGAC